TTGCTCTGGGATTGGCTCTTGAGGCTGCTTTTGCATTTGTCGATGTACTAATTGAGCGATGCTTTTTGGACAGCTTCTGTGTTCTGATTTGTTTTGTTGTGCTTTTTTTCCCTCCCTCCCTTCTTCCCCTTTTAATTTGTCTAGGCAAAAAAAAAAAAAAAGAAAGCCCCTCCAGTGTTGTTTCCTGCAAAGACTATTCTTAAGAGCCCGTTGGACAGCGCGGGGCTCTTGAAGTGATAGCTAATTGGCGAAAGAAAGGCCCTGATTGTCTTGAGGGAGCTGGAAAGTGCTGCGTGTGCTGCTGAAAGGGACTAGGGAGAAGGTGCCCGGTTTCGCTGAGCAGCTGCTGCTGGAGATGTTTGGAGATTACATCAGCATTGGAAAAAAGGGGCAAAAAAAAAAAAAAGGCCCCAACTTCACAGAGACGGAGTTTATGGAGTTTTTTTTCCCTTCCAAAGGTCTTCTGACAATACTGTCATTGTCAATATAAGAGTTGTTAATTCTTTATGAATAGCACATGGGGCCTCTTGACTAAATAGTACGTTACATGTCCCAAATCTGTCAGCTGGACTCTTCTCTCACATGCTAGTGAGATCACTTTGATTGGAATGTTACAGGAATTGCTGGACTGGCCACACAGTGCTGAATACTGCATTATATAATTAGATCTCCCAGGGTATTTTTTCACATTACCTCATTATTCTTGCTTAAATATGGAATCGGGCCTTTTGATGATTTTACTGGTCATAATTATATTAATACGATTCATTTTATGGTCTTGTCTCAGCGTTTATATAGATTATAAACTGTCCCGAAGATTTCCTGACAAGACAAAAGAGGAGTAAGATCTTTCAAAGGGCTTGCGTACATTTTAACTGACAAGGGGTGAGGCCTGGACAATGTCATGGAACAGGGGCACGGTTTACCTTTAGGACCAGAGATGACCAGAATGACCTTGCTTAGGCAAGAGCCCTGTGAGCATTCTGCAGGAGGTCTCACATTTACAGAAGGAAAAACTACAACTGATCGAGTCAAATGACTTATCGAAGTAGGGCAAAGTAGTTGCGTCTGGAACATGCTTGTCAATTAAATGATCTGGACAGGCTGGAAGAAATCCTATTGTTGGGAAAGCCCAGGACAGCCGAAGCCCTGGTCTTGATAAGTGAAATGTGACAGCTTACTGCTTGCTGGACAGACTACTGATCTGCATTTAAAAATGCCAGCTGCAGAGGCCGCCTGTGTGCAACAACTGACCAGTGTCCACTTAACTATGAAGATGAGTTTCCAGGCTCAGCTGTACTTGTATGCTACCAAACAACAGAAGGAATTGTTTTACCTGCCTGGCTCCTTCATGGATAAATTCCCCTTGTAGCTTCTTCCATTGACTTATGCCTGAACCTGGCTGAATGAATATATTAATTAACTCTATTATTCAATGAATGTTTATATGAATATTAGGAATAGCTAGCTGACTGCTACCAGCACAGTAGTCACTGGAATAAGTTGTTCCATGAAAACCAGCACTATGCATCAATCGGCTGGTATAGCAGGAAGAAAGGGATCACATAGCTATAATGCAACTTGGCATACAAGCAGGATAGCCCATCATGGTGATAATGGGGATCAAGAGGTATTCAGTTACTTACACAAGGCCACAAAGGTAAATCAATAAAGCAGCCAGGTTTGAATCCAGAATTTTTCTAGTTCTCAGCTTTATGTTTGACCCCATATATGAACTGGGAGAGGAGCAACCAGTTTTTATTTTTGACCTCCAAGTGGATGTTGCATTGCATAAACTATTTAGAATTTGAAGGGCAAAAGTAGTGCTTCTACATGTGGCACAATTTAACTTAAATCGGGGGGAGCTGAACCCATGGCTGGCAGGCCATTTTCAGCCCACCAAGTCATGTCATTTGGCCTGAAGGGCTGCCCAGGGGTTTGAAAATTTGGTGGTGGGGGAATGGTGGCAGTGTTAATTGCTGCTCCCCAGCTATCAAATTTCTGGACCCAGGGTGAGCCTTGTGTGTGGATAGTGTGTGGGGCCCAGTGTGCTAAGTCAGGGGTATGCTAAGCTGGGGTGGTGCAGGGCCCAGTCCTGGCATGCAAGGCTGGCATGGCATAGGACCTGATCCAGGCAGCAGGAGGCAGGATCCAGGTGTGCAGGGACTAACTTGGTCAGTCTGAGGTGGGATCTGGTGCACGGGGGTCAACTCCATGCAGCAACCTGCATGGGATCTAGCTCTATCCCATTCATCTGGCTCAAAGGGCTGAAAGGCTGAGCACTGTTGATTTTAAATCAATTACTTAAAGTAAAATTAGGTTTACCTTTTTTTGCAGTCTAAAGATCAAAATTGAAATTCAATATCCTTGGCCCAAGACACCTTAAGAAAAATTCCAGACTTAGTTCTTCATTTTTTGTCATAAATAAAAATGAACACTACTACTTCTTAGAATGACTTCCAGATCTCTTGATAGCTCACATGATGATATCAGAATTCAGTCTAGCTAAAACCTTGGCACACCCATAGAGAGCATCTCACCCTCTTGTGACTCTTGCACACTGCCAAAGCCTGGCTCATCATCAGCGACTACAAACAAGCCCCTATCATTTGTCTTCTGAGACCTCCTAAAATCCACAGTTGGGAAGCAGTACAATATCTATGTCATGACTTTTTTCCTCTTCAATGGAATGTGAAGGGTAAATGTGAGAACAATTGATCTCAGCCTCACACTGACAAATCTGAGGAAAAGTCTATGGTATCTACAGACACTTTTGTCAACTGGAAATCCTGCCGGTTAATTGGAAATTAACTAGGAAATTCTATACCTTTCCAAGTGCCCATGCCAATTTCTGTGCTTCCAGAGGAAACTGATTGCCTTACCGTAAAGAGAAAGGTGAAAATGGACTATCCATAATATGCTGATATGTACACAAAGTAGGCAAGCTGAAAAAATAGATGAATCTTTTACCTTTTGTGATCTCAGGTGTTAGCTATAAGAAAAGCAAGCAAAGATCATTTACACCGAAGTTTGTTTTAATTTGAGGATGTTCTTTTTTAAAAATATGTTTATATATTGCAATTAATATGTTTAATTGATCTTTTAGGCCTCTTGTTGCATACATTTTAGAATTCTGTACTTCAATGAATTAAAATATGGATTTGATGAGAAATTTTAGTAAGGAGGTTTCAGATAATGTCTCTTATTTGTTCATATGGGGAAAGCTAGCATGTGGGACTGGCATTAAGGGTCAGATTCTGGTACCCTTAATCCTATTGAATACCATCATACTCTGCAAGTTACTATATATTTACATAAGTAAGAGTATACCAGTCCGGTTACAGACTTTATCCTAATTCAGGCGATATTATCATTGATCTCTGTAGAACAGTGTATTTGCATGGGTTAACTGCATGAAGTCAAAAGAATGCTACAATGGATGAGTGACCACAATCATTCTCTTTAACAGCTTCTGAGGAAAGAGAAGAATTGTGGATGAACTTGTTGACTGGAGTGTAACCAATTGTCTGTAGTAGTAGTGGTTTGGCTCTCTTGGTGCTTCTGTGTTAAGTTTTGTTTGTGGTTTGCATGGGAGAGATTAATTTCACCATAACTGAAAAAATATTGTAAGTAATGTTTGGCATCATACCATTCTGCACCTTTCTAGGATGAAACTGGCCATTGCTCTTCTGCAAAAGTCCCTTAGGCTAGGGACAGAAATTACACACAAACTGGTATAAGTGATATCGGAAATTGGTTCCAATCTGTAACGCAACAGAAGTCCAATGTGCATAAGCTGCTTTCAGAATGGCTGAAACCAGTTTAAGATAAGCTGGCTGGGTGTAGTATCAGAGTTAACTGATTTAGGTTAAATCAGTTTATTGAACTTCTGTCCCAGATCCCTTCCATATTCAAGTTGTCTGATCCAGCCAAGCAGGGAGATGGGCTTTACTGCCCTTTCCTTGCACCCCGCCAGCTTCTGGCATGGGCCACTGCAAGCATGAGGCTGCATTTCTGGAATCAAAAGAGAATGTTTTCACTTGCTTATCAGTTCAATCTACACAGCTTAGACTAACTTGAGAAGATTGAATTGATTCAGCCTCAGGCTTTTTGACTTAGAGCTTAGTAAAAAGTTGTAACCTTCCTATAGTTTTTTTGGGGCCATCTAAAGAATTTAATAAAGAATTATACCCCAACTACCATAGTGCCTGAAATTAAAAGTAAAACCAGTTTCAGAAGCCAGGCTTTGTAGATAACTCTCTGTTTCAGGAGTTTGCTACAAAAAAATCTTGAAACACAAGTAAGGTTGTATCCTGTCACAGGCACAGAAGTGTAGGTTTTGCTTTGCACTGATGTAAATGTATGCCCATTAGGGCTGTGTGAAGCTTTGGTTACTGATTTGATATGGACTGATTTGGCGGCCAATTTTCAAATCCAGATTGAATCAGAAGACCCTTTAATCTCTCCAAATCGAATCAGAACCCTCCAAATCGATTCAGAGAGATTCAATGATTTGGACATAGACACGGCTTTAAATGTTTTTTCTACATACCTCAAGGTACCAGGCAGTTCATGAACATTGAGATGGTGGGTGGGATGGAGCATCCAATGGGTACATGGGGGGTCCCCAGCACGCTCGGTGGCAGCCCTGTTAGTGAACCAAAAGCACTTCTGGTCCACTTCTGGGTCCTTTACGGAACATGTAGGGGAACCCTCCTCCCACCCCCAGCTTGGCAACTGATGCCTCCTGTGTCTGGGCGGGGGCACCCATGGTCAATCGCTGAGTCAGGGGCCTCCCCCGGACTCCTGTGGGATGCTCCATCCACCCTACCACCTCAACCTTCACAAGCCATGCCTGGTACTTCAAGGTATGTAGAAAAAACATTTAAAGCAGTGCCTATGGCCAAATCGCTGATTCTCTGAATCAGCATTGAATCCTCAGATTCAGATTTGGCCAAATCAAGTTGGGACAGTGATCCAAATCAACAAATCGAATCACTGTTCCCCAAATTGGCCTGAATCTGAATCAAATATGTTCTGCCTCGCACAACCCTAATGCCCATGCTCATGGATGCCATGAATTTGGAATAGCTCTGTCATTTTAAGATATTGAAGTAACAGCCATTTTAGGCCATTTAGTAGACGCTAAGAGCAAGTGTTATTCTACATGTGAAGCCATGGCAGTCTGTGTATGATTAGGAAACTTTTCTAGTATTCCACTGTTGTTGGTAAAGATGTTCCATTTGTCTTATTGAATGAGTTAGTTTCTACAACATCCATAGTGCTGGTTTAGAGGAGTGAACTAGATCACCCCAGAGGTGCCTTTCAGCTCTGATTTTATAATCAGATTGAAGCATGCCAGGATGCAGAATTATTCCTATATTTGGCATCATTTAGGTTTGTATTTTTTAATATTAATGAACATCGCTTTGTTGTTTCTAATTCTATTTCTACTTTGGTTATTGACTTGTGCAACCTTGGGTATGTTGTTACAACATAATGTGCCTTTGTTTCTCCATTTGCAAAAGGGGAAGCCATCTGTCTCACAGTAGGTATTGGAATTAATAAATAAATGCTTATGAGTGTTTTGTGACCTTTGGATGAAAGTTAATACATAAATACAGGGTATACTGTTACTAAATTTATAGCTGAAGGCAGTAGCCCCTCCCCTGATTTTTTTTACCAGAATGTCCCACAAAATTCTGAAGGAGATGAGGTTTTTAAGATTACCCAGACAGTACTATATTCTGTTTAAAGTTAAGAAGGTGCACATTGAAAGTAGGCTCCTTTGCATCAATGACCTTTTTCTGGTGTGATAGGCTTACACCTGGTGCTACCGCCCCAGCATCATTGGCATGCCCTGTGCCCCTGGGCCACATCACACTTGACCCACTTGTCCACCACGACTTGATGTTCCAAGATGACCCTGTACTCTTCATGATCCAGTGGTTCTCTGTGGGCCAGATGTGACCCTAGTGTGGTCTTCTGTGAGGCTCCTCCTGTCCTGCAGCCCATCCCTTTCTGCTTGGGTATTATTGCCATTTGTTGGCACATTGTAGGTGTTTGTCATGTGGGCTACCCCATGGTGTTAGGCTGTGGCTTGGATCCTTAAGGGTCCATCCCCTGCTCATGTTAATGTAAAAAAATTACAATTATATAGATGAGATAAACTCAAAATGGCTCGGCTTGGTGGCCAGAAAGGGCACTGGTGCCTAGCTGCCCCAAGTTTCTTCCCGCTTTTTGGGATGTGAGCTACTTCAGTGTGCAGCCACCCCAAAATTTGCCATAGCTTCCCTCCCAGTGCCACTGCTGCCCACTGCAAATGTCACCCAGCCCAACCTTTGCTGGGAAGAGCCTGGTGATGCCCCCAGCCCACAGTAGCTGCCTGCCCTCACCTCTCATGCAGATCTGGAAGCACACACCCCTCATGCCTTCCTGGGAACTGGAGATGTGTAGGGGGTGCACAGGAGTGCATGTGCACCCCATGAGAGCACTGGTGCACCCCGAGAGGCCGCGCTTCCCACTTAGGTGATGGGCAGGGGGAGCAGGCGGGGGCGCTGGTGCCTCCCCACACGAGTGCCAGCTGGGGAGCAGGAGCGCTGGATGTAGTGCTGCGGTCACTTCTGGGAGCACCATGGCTGCTCCCCAGTTGGTGAGTTGTGCTGTGGGGGGACCCCCCCCAGTCACTGACTGGTCTCTGGGGGGGCACATACTCTCTCTGACTAAGGTAGCACAAGTCACACATGCTCCTGGGGGTGCGTGCACCAGTGGGAGCCACACTTCCCTCACCCCCTGAATGAGCCACTTGCAGATCCATTGCCCACCCCGCCCCAGCTGTACAGCACCTGCCCCTATCCCAGCCCCATTCCCTCCCTCACCATGGGGGCCTCGATCTGCCCCGCCTGCCCTTTCCCTCACAGCAGAATTACCTGCTGGACCTGACTGCTCTTCATGCTGCTGGACTGTGCTTCTGGTCACCTGTGTGCTGCACTGTGGCTGCGTGCATGCACAGGGCATTTATTGGTGGCATTACTGGCTACATCAACCAAAGAAGCTGATTGCTGATGCAGTCAATTTTTCTTATATTGGTGCTGATCTGCTATGGGACTGATGAAAAATCAGAAAAATTGACTGCTTCAGCAATTGGCTTCTTTGGCTGATGTAGCTAATAATGCCACTGATAAATGCTCTGTGCAGGCACGCAGCCACAGTGCAGCACACAGGTGGCCAGGAGCACAGTCCAGCAGCACCTCTAATTACAGTGCACCTCTAATTACAGATATTGTAGAATTTTTTTCCAGGGCTCAGAATGTTTGAGCAATACAAACGGAATTAATTTTAAGTATCAGGTCTTCTGCAAATGTAAAACGTTTGCTTCATATTCTGTAATGTGCACAAAACTGGCATGATGGGCTAAACTATGGTATAAAGAACTAATTATACTTGCTCATAACTGATGCTTTGGTGATATAATTATATTTATTGATCAAAATAAATCTACAATTTTATTTTGTCATGTCATTACAATGGTATCCACTTCAATAATTAGTGTTAAACCATGTAAACCAAATGGCTGCAGGGCTTCATTAAATTAATCTGGAGATGCAGCAGGTGGTCTGATTATTTTAGGTAGGTGCATTACAACAAACTGCAGGGAGAAGCTGAAAACACAAGTAGAGATACAACTGTGTTGACTCTCACAGAAGGAATCTGAACAGCTGGGAACCCAGTGGCTTGTCCACCAACTGCTTACAATGAACTTGCACATCATAAACTGAAGTTTGGGGAAGCTCAGTAATTGACTAGAGCTGCTACCATGTTTTATGTACTATGGTACATTTCTGGAAAAATGGAAAACAGTATTACTTAAATTCACCAAATCATCAAATTTTAACTGCCCCAAAATTTGAGTGTTTGGTGGAAGATCATTGTAAGTAATTGGTAGACAACCCACTGGGCTCCCAGCTGTTCAGATTCTAATCTGCTGTGTCAGATGAAACTTGAGAAACTCTATAAAGTTCAATTTTGGTAATCTGGATTTAAACCAAAGTAACTAGCATCTAAGTATGGATGGGACTGGTAATGCCATCTGTTGTTAAGGTTATCTAACCCTCCCAATTCTAAACCTGTTTTCAGTTGCTTATATGTTTATCAAATTTAAAATATCTTTTCTGGGTTTCTGCCTCAGGCTGTATTATTTTTGGAAAATGTCAGTCAGAATTGTTCAAGGCTTAAACTAGTATAAACACTTTTATACTCACGTTGAAATATTCCTTTGAAAGATCTAGTGTTCCCATGCTAGAACATAACATTTGGTAGAGATGGGCACTTGTACTTGGGACACAAATCTTTTATACAAGAGAAGGAAGCCACAGGTAGAAATAGTCAATGGGACCTATGCTTTGAACATATGAGACAATACAAAAAGTTTAAATACACTGAAAAATCATATCACAGATATCTGATATTAAGCACCTAAAATCAATGGATATTTTCTCTCTTAATCTCCGTGTGCTTCATTTCCTCATTTGTAGTGAGGAAGATGATGTAGAGCTGCTTTCCTCTTGTGCAATAACGCTGGTATTAGAGCAATAGCTCAAGGTATGGGGGACTAAG